AAATCAATTTAATATTAGGAATCTTTGTTTAATCGCTACAGGTTTAATAGTAGAGATAACATATTCTTTCCTTGGAATAAGTTAATGGAAGGGCCAATTAGCATCAGATTGAATTATGGGGGTGTGTTTGTGACTAAGAAAAAGAGTAAGAAAACTACTTATGAAAAAAGGGAGGATAATTACTATGGTCTTGCTCTGTATCCCAATGTTGATGAAGTTTCCTAATCCGAATTTGCTTATTGGATTAAAAAGAAACTTAAGTATGCTAGTGTAGGTCAGTTGTGGTTTAGGAGGAGAGGGTGTACACTATACGATGGAAGGAAGGAGATTAAAAATGATGTTGATATCCTTGAGTTTCTGGAATCCCCTGAGCCTGATGGGTGGTATAATTTATATGTTACCCATACTAACAAACCTGATAATGTTGTTGAGGTGGGGCTTGAAACTGATATGGATGAGGTGGGGCTTGAAATTGATATGGATGAGGTTGTGGATGACATGGGTATGCAAGGTGAGTTGGAAAGTGCTGAACATGAGAATCTCATGCATAACATTGACTCAGCACATATGGGGGGTCCACCAATAGTCTAGAAAACCCTAGATTTGAACTAGATAAGCAACAAAACTCAGACAAACTGCCTACTTCTTCTAATTCTGTCCTTACCCTTACAAAAAAAAACACAGAAACCATACCCAACAAAATAATCAGATCTAAAACTTCCTGCAGATCCAAAAAATGGAGGGAAATGTTTGTTGTGAAAACCACAGAAGGAGATGCACCAATTGAGGAAAGTGATGAGGATGATTTAGATGTTGTCTTAAGTGATGGTGACTATGATGATGATAGTGATGATGATTTATTTGCTGAGAATGTTGAGGAGGGGTTAAGTGAGTTGGTGACAAGGAGTTTGGGGGTGGATTAGTGAGAAGTTCAGGTGAGATAGTTGTACCAGTACCATAACTGACTCACGGAGATCAAGCAGTAGAGGATGGGGAGAACATCTTAGTAGGGAGTGATGATGATGGAATGACTCAGATGATGAAATTAGGAGCTTGGAAGGTTCTGATGATGAGCGGGGTATTCACTACCCTGTATGCCTAGGAAACAACAATGGCCTACTAGCCATTCACTATCCATTGATGTCCAGGCCACTTCTTCTCATGTAATTCCAGCTGCACCAAGAAAGAGAACTCCTGCAGCATCTGTTGTTACCCCTGCAACAAGATTTGAAGCCACCAGAGTACCTGCACCAGCAACAAGCTTTGCACCAAAAACCACTACTGCAGCAAAAGGCATTCCAAGGGCCAAGAAACATAAGAGCATGGTTGAGGTGTTATCATCACAGACAAGCACAACAACTAAACCTTGATTTATTAGTTTAATTGTTTAAGATGCTGCTGTTAGTTATTACTTGTTCTGTTGGTTTAAGATTCTGAATTTGAACAATATCTTTTGAAACATGGTCTTTTGGAACTTGTAATATACAATTATCTTGTTGAATTAAGTTGCAATCATTTTGAATTATGATGCAATGATTTTGAATTAAGATGCAATCTTATATGTAGCAACAAAATAGATTTTTATTCCAAAATAGAGAGCAAACTATCTCCATACATTATGGTGTAAACCACTGCATACAACCAAAATGACAGTTCAGGTTACACACTACTAACTACTAACACACCTCAAAATAGAGCCATAAACACCCTAACTTAAGAGTTTCACCATCATGAAACTAACTACAATAGATACAACAACAACTAAAGCCAAATTTCCTACAACATTTGCCTGAGCAATCGTTTTTTTTAAGCTTCAATTTAGGTTGTTTGCTTTATCCTGCACCCTTTTCTTCTCAGCTTCCAAACAACATAATCTGTTCTTCAATACAGCAACCTCACCCTTAAGTAGGTGATTTTCAGCCACCAATTGCTTTGTAATATCTCTTTGCCAATTAATAATTCCCTCATCCACCCAACGAAAGAATTTGCAACCCCTTTAATTAGTTTCGGGATTATAAAACTTACAAGCTTCAAACTTCCTCCCTGGTTTTTCATGAGTCCACGATGTCACCCTAGCAATTGGAATTCCACACTTGCACTTGGCTTTGGAGGAAGAAGTCATTCGCGTTCTTGTAAATACCAATTTTCATTATAAGCAAACCCTAATTTCATGGGAACGAATTTTTTAGGAACAAAATCAGCAATTGTTAAAGGGTTTCGATCAAAATCCATTATACAAAACTAAATTATAGAAGACATACCTCAATTGCAACCTACAAAGGGAGAGATTGCCTCAAACAGTCGAGTTAGAACTGAAATTAGGGGTTTCCTGGGTTAAAAGGGGATTAGGCGGGAAAATTTGTGGGGGGGGGGGAGAAGGAAGAAAAGGGTCATTAAGTGTCACGTGACCAAGTCAATGCTGGAGAAATTTGGTCAAACTTGAGGATCCGGTGGGAGGTAGTAAATTACAACATTTTATACTTTATTAGGTAATTAATTACAACATTTTTTTTAATAGGTAGTTTCTCGCAAATTCTGTGCTTTAATAGGTAATTTTTCACAAAATTTCTTATAAATTATTGTCAAGTATTTTTCTGTCTGCTTATCTTTTACACAAAGATGAACCCAAATGTCAAGCCTCTTTTGTCACCTCTAAATCGAGAGGGCCATATGCATAACTATCAAGCTAAGGGCCATCAATATTAGAAACAATGAAAGTTATGAAACTTGTACATTAATTAGTTCTCTATCACTCTCAAAGAGACAAGTAGAATCTCACATTTTGGTTCTACATAAGAAAAAACATTTGAAACTATGGAGCAACTTCATAGGAAACTGTCAAATTACATGATTGAACCCCTTCAAATTATGTGATAATATTATAATATATTAGCTATGATAAGATTGGTGTATGTCTTGCACGAATTATATAACTAAGATTATTATAAAAATTTATATTAGATCATATATTATTCTAAGTTATGTCATGTGCAATTTCTAGCAAGATTACTAATCATGAAAAGAAATCAACAAAAAAAGTTGTCCCATAGAGTACCTAATGGAAGGGACAAGATATCAATCATGATGGAAGGTTGGATGTTTATATTAGCAAAATATCATGGGCAGACCATATATGCCATCCCTCTATTATCTTAACATACAATTTTTTTTTAACCTAAGGTATATGTATATACAAGTAATAGTTTTTATGTTTCACTAATTGCAATAATTGATTATATGGGTGTTTCAAAAATAATCTGGGATTTTCGTGTTGTGACTTTTCTACGCACATCCAGTTGTACCAAGTACATACTAAGACTTTTTAATTTCTTTGCCTATGTGCTTGTACCTTATGAGCACATAGGCAAAATAATAACATTACTGGTTTTATGATAAGAATCCTCCTTACATTTTTATTAACTTCTACAGCATAATCCATTTACTTAATTCAATAGTTTGTCCTTTTTTTTTCTCCCCGGCCCTCTCCTCTCTATCTTCCTTAAAATAAAAGAAGTATTTCGTTTTTACTTTGTACTTGTTCTTAGAGATCAGTCACCAACGCTTGCTAACTCTCTCCAATCACCTTATTATTACGCCTGTTACAAGTGTTGCAATTTTTATAAGAAAGAAGAATATTATGGTTTATTATTAAGCTCGAATTTCTCCCAAAAAAAGCCGCCAAATTTAAAGATAAAACATAAAGAAAGGGTATCTCCTTAAAGAGTGCTCAACCATGTTATATGCATCTTTACTTTCATTGAACAAAAGTACAATTTGGTACCAAGTATAATCCAAATATAATTGGCTTTTAAAAATAGTTAATAGTTTAATATAAGATGAACTATGCAATATCTCTACTAATTAATTGGAATAACTTAATTTTTTGACTTCAAAGTGCTAAACAACAGACAAAGAATATCTTTCTATTATTATAATATTATTAATTAATCATTTTAATTATGTTATGTAGGGATTATTGGCCTAACCAACTTGAAATGATGACATCTTTCTGCGCATACATTCCTTTTCACTACTTTAATTAACCTATTTGTCTTAGATTTGGCTTTCCAATTTTTTATTTCTTTCTTAACATCTTCTAATCAATTTTTCTTTTTTGTTTTAACAACACACCTTTTCTTTTGTCTGGTTACCATGCTAAAATTCTCAATTAATCTAAATGATTAGCTTTTAATTTTCTTGTGCTTTGTTTGAAGTAGGCTAAATGCATGGCTTCAAGTTTGGCTCAATTTAACAGTGTGAATGCGCCAATAATTTTGAACTAAAGATTATATAACCTTCTTATATTTACTAATTCTTAACTTGTAAAGCGGTTCTAAATTAGCTCGCTTGACTCAATATACACCGAAATCGACTAGAGAGCTTGTGAAGTGAATTTTTTTTTCTAAGGTACATTTTGAACCAAATAAAATGAACTCAGAGTATGTACTCTGTAGTAGATTAAGATAATTGTCAATAAAGATATCTGTTCTCAATAGACGAGAGAAACTGCTAAAATCGAATGAACCTCAACTAAAGGTATAAAAATAATACGAATTATCAAATTTAATGAATTAGTTACGATAAAATCAATACGAAGTACTCTTTAGTTGGAGAACTAAGGCTTATATTCATAATATAGAACCACCCAAAATTAACGTCCACAAATTAAATACTTGCAACAACTTCCCTCTCTACCAACTCATCATTAACCATTTTGCATGATCAACTACCACATTCATAACCATAAAATGTGTAAATGATGATTATTGAGATGTGCTCAAAAACATTGATTCGAGGCCTAATATACTTATGTTTCTCTAAAATCTATGATATATTGATAATTTGATATTAATTACTTCAAAAATCACAGGGAGTTGAAACCAATGATGACCATAATCGTTAATAAACTTGCAAACCTTAGTCCCTCACCTTCTCAACATTTTAAAATGTCCCTTTCTATGACTACTTTGGTGGGGGAGTTTCAGAACTCGTGAATGAATGTCCTTTTAATTAGAGAGGAGAGAAAATTTTAAAACGCAAGACAAAATGTAATATATAAGTATAAACCAAGCATAACGTAAATAGATTGAACTTCAACGAGGACCAATAATATAATTCAATTTCTCAAAAAATGTTCTATTAACGCATAAGCACTAGAAACATAAAACAAGCTAACAACTATATCTCATTCACACAAACTTACAAAAACAAATTACTCACAATACTCACTAATCAAACGACAAAATCAAAACATAATCCCACAAAGATAAAATCCATTTTTCTTAAGAAAATTATTAAGCCATCATTGATGAATAAAAATAAAAATGAATCTAAGGACAACTTACTAGTACTCCTAGACAAATCCTCATCATGTTGCAAAAGGCATAGGCAAAAGAAAACTTAGATCATGACCTTTCTACATGACACAACCCAAGTCTCTCCCTATTTCCACCTCCCATTGACATGGGCTGCTACTCCATGAGCCTGTTGTGTTGCCCTACCACTCACATGCCTCGCCGTGATCGGCGGGGCCCCCTCCGCCGAGCACTTTATTGGCCCCGGTCCCACGCTAACCGCCTTCTCACATCGACAGCTCAACAACCCACCACCATTATTATTCCCTTTCCCACCACCACCCCCTTTACTACTCCTCTTATTATTATCTTGATGATCACCCCCACCACCACCATCACCATTATTTCTCTCCGACTCTCGCCTCATGGCCGCGTATAGCCCTACTTCCGACGCTGACACCGAGAAGTTGCTAAGGCTAGCACGGTCGTACCCCTCAGCCGTGGTCACACTCCAATCAATGCTCACCTCACTAGGCGCATAACACTCAGTTGGTGCTACTGAAGGTGTCATAGGCTCATCTAAGCCTTCATTTTCATCCAAATGATTAATATTATTCATGTTACTCCTACAAACAATCCCAAGTCTCTTCATTGTACTACTATTAAAGCTCGAAACCGGGACAACCACATCATCCATTGAATCCCTACAAGGGTATGATGTAGTAGTAAAGCTCTCAATCTCAAACAAGTCTGAGCTTCCATCACTAAGTACATTGTCATCTTCGTAGCTCGTTCTTCGTGACTTAGGACTCGGGTGGCTCCTTGGTTGATACACCTCTAATGAGTCCCTTGGTGGTTCTGCAATCACATTGAACATCTTCTTCACCCCCACTGGCGGGTTTTCGAGGATTGGGAATGTAAATCCGTTAGTATTACAAGCTGTTGTACTACCTACACCAGCCGCAGCCTTAGTAGCAGCAACATTATTAGTCATGACAGTTGTAGCAGTAGTACCAATCATTTCTGAATGATTAGCAAAAGACTTTAAGGGACCCATGGAGACTACCTTGGGATTCGAGGAGGCATTGCTCGAATAGCCACCGTTCGTGTGGTGGTGATTGTGATTGTGTTGTTGGTGGTGGTGGTGGTTGGAGTGGTTGATTCCGTTCGAGTTGTTCTTAAGGTCTTGGACAGGGGCTATAATAGCATTTGAGGGTGTTAAGGGTTTTGATTTATACGTACCGCCTTTTTTGGGACAATTTTGCCTAGGAGAGTACCAAGAGGAAGATATGTAATTTGTTGAACTACCATTTGATGAAGTACTTCGCCTTAAATCAACCATTCTTGGTGTGTTGGACTCGATCCTTTCTTCGACTTGAACTGATTTCTTCCCCGAACAAGGGCATTTTCGTCTAGGGATAAGCCATTTCGTGCTTATCCTAGGCCATCTTGGTGTCGCGTTACTAGTACTAGTCGTACTACTATTAGGGGACAAATTTTTGGTGAGACAGACTCCAGTAGAGCCAGGCGGGTTTGCTAACAAACCCGTCTGGCTATTCCAACTAGCCTCCGAGGAGGCAGTTGGAGTTGCATGGAATGACCTCGCTCTATAATTATTATTACTATTACTATTACTATTTCTTCCCCCATAGTTGCTCCCATTATCATCGATGGATGATGATACTGAGGAGAACCTAGGGGGGATCGAAGCAAGGTGATCAAGCCCTGCCTTGGAGTTTTTTTCTTCTTTTTGATCACCATGTAGACCACTGAAGTACTTTGCTGCATCAAAAATGCTAATTTGATCAGAATCCTCTGCTCTAACTTGTCCTGTTTGAGGAGGAATGTACTTGTTTTGATGATTTTGTGTTTGATGAAGGTAAGAAGAGAAAGAAACATCTTTTTTAGATATGAATTGAGCTCTAACTATGGAGGGGTCTATGATATCAAACTTTGGTTTAGGAATATTTTGTTGTTGCTTAAGATCATGAAATTGATCCATTTTTTTTAGCTAATAATGTTTATAAAGAAAGAGTAGTGTTTATTTTTGATTGGGTGCTTTGCATTTATATCCAACATCAAGTGTATATATGAATTTTGGATGATCAATAATTTATCTACTAAGCAACAAAATAGTACAACGATGTTTTAGGACTATATGATAACACCAAAAAAAAAGGGTAAAAAAGGAGGAAAAAAAAGTTTTTTTTTTTTTTCTTTTTTCCTTTTTAGAGATTAGGATTATATCATTTGGGTGTGTATATGATATGTATGCTTTTTTGGACAAGAAAGAAATTGGGTATGTTTTGATTTTTTTAATTTTTTTTAGTTGAATTGATGTGATGTGGGACAAGAAATGGAAGATGGTTGTATAAGAGTTAGCATCAAAATGAATTTAGTCTTCTCTTAAAGAAAAGGGAAAAAAAAAATTGTTGGTTTTATTGACTAAAATAGTATCCTGATGTTGAGATTTAAATTATAGATAGTTGATTATAAGTGGAATTTTTATTTCCCATTCTTTGGTTTTTTTAATTAGTTGATGGTCCCCCATATATATGTCTATGGAATTATGCTTAACATAAACAATTTTTATGAAATTGACTTTGAAGTTTAGTTCATTATACGTAGATGAATCTTAATTAGCTCATTTTACATTGGTTTTAGGTGTTTAAGTAGTAAACATAGTAACTAATTGTTAGGTACTAATGATTAGTTAACTACAAAATTATTTGATGAGGAGAGAAGGAAAAAAGGTTTGTTTTTTTTTTTTTTTTTTTTTTTTTATACAAAGGAAGGAAAAAAAAGAGTACTATTAATAAGCAATGAACATGCAAAGAGAAGAAAGAAAAAACTTTTGTTGTTATTCAGGGTGTATTCAGATTGGTTTATAATCAAATGAATAATACAGAGTACTTTCTAATTTAATGGCGGAAAATATTTTTCTTTTATAACGAAAGGAATTAAAGGCTTCAGTTTCTTCTCAATTTTTTATACTTCACTCTAGTTCCTCCCATAAACGAAGTCTTGGTTACATGTGTATCTTTTCTGTTTTACTTTCAAAAAAAATATAAAGCCTAAGTAATTGTAGCATATATAGTACAATGTTGACAAATGGCGTTAATTACTCCATAATTATGGATAAAGTAGCATTTACTATACTTTAAGATCGAGTGTTTATTACCCAATAAGGTGAATTAGTTGAATACATTTAAGATGATCTAGACGTTGCTTAGTCTTTGATTAATTAATTTAAATTTTATGCTCTCATTATGGTTGTGGGGAAAAAAGGCTTATGAAATAAAACACCTATTATGAGCAATCTGCCAAATCTTGCTTGCTTAACAGTTAGTGTATTATATTGATGGTTCATAAACTTCGTACGACAACGGTCTTAACATTGCTCCAAATCAAATGACACTAACTAAGCTAGGTGATGAGCAACAATATTGTCATTTAAAACAAAATCAAACTTCATAAAATCTCATAAATCATCATTAGTTGCACATATGATGTACGAAGTATAACACACTTGGGCCGACGTAACTTGAGTGTATAACTTTGTATGCAACAACACATGTAGTACAATAATTAGGCGTAAATTTGTAAGCCGTTGAAAATATTTTCCAATCAAGCAATAGCACTTGATATTAACATTTTTTAATTAAAAATTAATAAAGCTTAGTTAAGCTATCTAAATGGGCCACTTGATATTAACATTAATGACACTTAAATTAATCACATTTTGGTTACAGTTGGAAATTTATATAATGTACTTAGGTCTTCCCCACCAAAAAAAAAAAAAAGATTGGAAAAGGTTATACCCCAGTGTAGAGACTTTTAGGCAAAATGAAGTTGATTGGAGGCATAATGCTATTTAGTGAAGGATTACAACCCTTCATGGTACCTCACATTGCTGAAGGTGACACTTACATGCAAATTGGGGCTACTTATAAATATAAGTATATCATAATTACAAAATAAAACCAAGTACTAAAAGTTAGATCAATAAAAGTTGGATCAAAGTTTTTCAACATGAAATTAGTGATTGTTGCCTAATATCCCAAGTATGAAATGACTAGTGCAATTTTGGCTTTGGTATGCAATGCTAAATTGCTAATTCAATTGATTGCTCTTTAAAAGGTTGTCAAATATTGTGGTTAGATTCTAGTCTCTACAGTTAGCTTGTTCTGTGCTTTATCTAATATACAATCATTATACAAGTTGACTTGGTTTAAATATAAACTCATACTTGTATTTAACTTTTGAGAAGGCATCTCCGGGCCAAGAATAATTACTCTTATGCCTCGAAATTCTCTCAAGATTTAAACAAAATCCTATTTTTTTGAAGAGTTTCTTTAGAATTTTTATTTATTTATTGGTTAGTAATAATGAATTTAAAGGTCAAATTAATAAAAAAAAAAAATTAAATACTAACCAAGTCCGTATAAATGTATAATGACTCAATTTTAAACCTAACCAACTTGAATATAATGGATCTTATGATTCAAGGTTTCAAGTTTTCTCTCATACACGACAAAGTTGCTTTACTCCAGTGATTGAAGTTAAGTTTGGACCGCATAATAAAATGCTCAAACCTTTATCTAAGACAAAGGGATAGTTACAACTAGACCTAATAAGTGACACCTACTTCAAATCAAGGTTGATATTATGCCTCCTATTTTATGTTCCATTTAACCAGTTCGTGTCTCATCTTGATACTACTAAATCACAAACTATTTTTTTAAAAATTTCAATGAAATGTAAGTGGCAATCGACGTTGCAAAATAAAGGTAGGTGATTGTAAGAAAATAAGTGGATAAAGAAGAGCGAATATAAGTGTAACAGTGTGGGAGTAAGACTCTATAAGAGAGTAAGATAGGAAAATAAGAACACAAAAAAAAATGTTAAAAGTGTGTCGAACTTTAAGGGATTATCCAATAATAGAATAGATGAACCTTACTACTTCCCGAGGTCCTACTTTGGATCATATTTGTTTCACTAATGAATAGAAGTGGGACAATAACGTCAGAAAGAGTGACAATAATTCCAATACAATATGAATAACGCAGCATAGTTATACATGTGGTGTATATTATTCGAATAATATTTGGGATGACAGCCCATGTTTGTAGTAAGGGAAGCAAATCCTGAACGCGTACTAGTGAGCAGTAGCAGTAAAGAAAGGACAGCTCTCAAACAAAAAGGATAAGCAAAGATGAACTGGGAATATGGAAGAGAGAAAAATGAGGGTCCATTTCCTTTGATAATTCGATCTATTTCGGAATTGAGAGAATGTTTGCTTAAGTTTTGTGGTCACCAATTTTCGCGAGTTTTTTAAATGAAACAAGACCACGTTGATAAATCATCGAAAGTAGGCTGTAATTTTGGCCTCAATACAAATATGCTCTAATAATCTATAGATTTTCCATGTTCTATTCAATAATTTAAGCTATGGAGAAAAAAAAAACAACAAAAATCAGAAACAAAATTTTACAGGGGAACTCGAAAACACGAGCCAAAAGAGTGGTGACATGTTACATCCAAAATAGAAGACTGAAGAAACGAAATAGGAGAGTTACCTGGGATCAAAATTTTTTACAGTGTTTGGTTGAAATTAATCGGCTTTCTTCTTAGCAAATCGCTGCAGTGATTTTGGTAGCTCGGCTCCTTCGCCGATTCTTTTCCTTTTCTTTTTTGACAGCTCTTCGTTCTCCTTCATATTCTGTCCGATGAATTGCTTCTTTGCATTCGCAACAATCTCCTGCTTCTTCTTTGCTCTTTTACCGTCTTTGTTCCTACCTTTGGTTTTGTTCTTCAACTTCTTGCCCTTGGCTGCTTCTACTGCAGCCTCCATCTCTTCTTCTCTTTCTTTCCGTGTTGGCTTGTCCTTCTTTTTTGGTGGCTTTACAGTCCCAATTTTCTTAGGATCCAACATGATAGACTCTGGGGGAAGCTTCTCCAAGAGAGATCGCACTTCTTTTTCACGCCTCTGTTTCGATGTTTCAAATGGATTAGCTACCCACGAGTCAAAGTTTGGTTCTCCAGAACCAGGAATTAAAATTGATGACCATCCCATTGAATGTCCTATTCCAAGAACATCTTCATAAGGTCGAAATGAAACCTCCTGTATCTGATAACCTTTTGCCATAGAATGGCTCATGTAACGACTGTAATTCTGAGAACCTGCAGTCTCTTTGAAAACTTGAACAAATGACCCGGTTGAAGCAGCAAGCAAACCTCTCTGACTGAATTCCAAAGATTTTGCATGACCTGGCATCGTCTGAAGAACCTCAAATTTTCTCAAATCCCATAATTTGATTTTTCTCTCCATTCCCGCAGTTGCCATAAGATGTCCGTTTGGATGGAAAGCCAATGCTGTTAATGGTCCATGATGACAGAGCATTTTGACGATAGGATTGGGGCTCGTAGGCTTCCACATGGTAGACGAGCCATTGGAATGACCTAAGGCAATGATACCGTTGTAAGGATTTGCCTGCATCACATCTGTACGACCTAGACCAGTTCGGTAATTAGCAATCATTGTACCCATTGTAACGTCTTGGTAACGAAGCTGTCCAAATTTATTAATAGATGCCAAAAGGAAGTGGTTCCTTAAGAATTGAAGCTTCGATACAGCCCCATGTTCCTAAATATTAAGTGCAAAATTGATACATGATTATTTACAGTGTAGGAGAAAAAATTCATAAAAATAAGGCGAACTCCCTAATCATCACAAGAAAGCAAATCAGGATTCAAGACCGGTAGTCATGATATGGTAATTTAAAAGAATAGGAAAATAAAAGAAAAACAAAAGAGGATCCAATAATCTTCAGCAAGTACACTTATTGAACAAAAACAGGCCAAGTGGAACAAGAGAGTTCTAGTTTGTTATTTTCAATCCACCAAATACTCAATAACCATTATCCAATTTCCAAATATTGTCAATAATGATTCTTTCAACTTCACTGGCCAATGGCAATAGTCTTTGGAAATTTAAAAAGCCAGTATACTAAAAATAGAGAATTATACCAAAGATGATTAATAACACTTGCAGAGTAGGACAGCTAGAGCATGGTACAACGAACCAAAACTTGAAAGCAACAACTCTAACAGTATGGTTTAGGATGGTTCAATGGCTCTAGTTAACAAGTAGGAGGCAAGGGAGCCCGAGTACCCTACCATAAAAGACAAAAGGCAATAAAGCACTAATAAAAGGGGAGAGAAGTTGTGGAAACAAAGCATCAACAGAGATAAATCCTACAGCCTAAAACCTATTCAAGGGTAAATAACAGAAAGTTCCAAGTTTTGGCAATACCATCA